GCTGGCAAACTCGCGCTCTGATTGGTCGCGGTTTTTCGTTAATATCTCGTAAACGAAGCCTCAGTTTAAATTTTTGCTAAGGAAAAAGTTGTTCCAATTCACCCCCCGAGTGCCACATTTCCGGGTCGGAGGACATTTTTGGGACACCCTGTATACGATACATATGAAACAGGTGTCCCTTGCAAAGAGGCTAATAACTTCAAATGCATCTAATCAGTAGGAATTCCATTGATCCAGACTTCAGATACCGAAAGGGTTAGCAAAATGTTATATTCCTTCTGTTTCGTACTAATTTTCAGGAAGGTCACCGTTCTTCTTCCGGCGGTTATGCCGAGTCACCTCCAGACCAGCGCACCTGGAGCGAAGAGGAGCGTCGCAGGCGACGCAAAAACTTCACTCTTGAGTTTCCGGGAGGTACACCGGATACTGAACGCGGCACAGAGCATTACACGGACATCGTTGAAGTCAGTCCAACACCGAGTCACCGTCACAAATCGAAGGTGAAGTTGACGAGCGCGAAGAGCCCGCACCGAAACAACAGAAAACGCGAAACGGTTCAGTTGAGTCAAACGCAGCAACAGCAACAGCAACAGCTACCTCGAAGTCCCCAGAAAGAGGACTGGCGAGTGGAACCGGTCGAGGATAATGGACATGTGCCGACGTCCGATGATTCCAGCTGCAGTCATCATTACCATATGCATCATCACCATCACCATCATATGCATCGAGACAACGCTGAAGGGGGAAGACACAGAAGAACTAGGGAGAGTCCTCGAAAGAAGACCAGCGGTTATGTTTCCGCTAGAAGGAGGAGTAATGAGGTGAGTGGATGATACTTTCTTATGAAGAGAAATTGAGTGACATTTGTTTCTTAACACGTTCCGTACCACATGTACCACCGGTGGTACACGCAGCCTGAATGGGAAATTTAACGCGTACCATCGGTGGTACATATGTTGAACTGTAGTTTAAAACAAGACCAACAGCCTCTATTAACAAAAGACACACATTTTCGGTAATTTATGACTTGAAGAACGACATAAAGATTGTCTGGCTACGTACGGCCTTTTTCACTGTGGCACGGAACGTGCTAACACATTTAGTCATGGGCGTAGCCAGATGATCAGTTAGGCGGAGCAAAAGCATTTAACACATCGACTGCCACAGTGAAAAAGGCTGTCCATAGCCAGACACACTTTATTTTGATTTTAAAGTCGTAAATCGTTGAAAATGTATGAGTTTTGTTAATAGGGGCTGTTGGTCGTGTCTCAAATTATACTGCAATATTAAATATTACGCAAATATTTTATAAAAGTGCACCCGCCCCTGCCCCCCTTGGCTACGCCCATGCGTTTAGTACTAACTTCATATTGTTGACCTTTATTTTTACGCAACGCCATGCGGTCAGCTGAACGATCCGATAATTGTTTACAAGTGTTAGAATATTTTGCAAGAAATGTTTTGAAGGAAATATCAAACGACCTAGGGGGGGGGGGAGTGCTAGAAATATGACTGCCACTTTAATTTTGAAAAACAGAACATTATATTTTACATTTCATACTGGTTTATCATATGTAATCGCGTCGATCATCGGTAAGCCACGCGGTCTGAATGGAAAATCGACTTTCGGTCAGTAATGACCGACATGATATCTGACGTGTCAACACTTCGAATACGGGTTACTCTAATAACAAACCCGTACTGTGGATGCATGTCATTGTGTAATAACGATCGTCATTGAAGAATTGTTCACATACCGTGTACTGAATAGAAATATTAATTTTTCTATCTTCTAGACAGAGTAATATTAATCTCTCCTACTTTCATCTTCGCTTACGTGAATGTATATGTAAGCATCAGCTAATTTATCTGACTTTTGTTTGGATCAATTTTACCTAGGGCAATGTTTCGTTGGACGCATGTATGCGTTCATAGTTCATGTCGAAGTCATACATTGAACGCACCTACAGACACCATCATCACTCATAACAATATATTTTGCATTTTATGATTATTTGTGAATAATATTCGAAGTAGAATGGAAAATGGAAACGAGCAGTACAATATCCATAATACTTAAAACATTTTAAAATGAACTCTTTAGTAACAGATTAAAATTCTTGTTTTTCTCTATTTGCATTTAATAAGATCTGCACGGGAGAAATTTCATTTTTTATAGTCAAGTTACAAACTAAAAACATTATTGCATACGACTCTACTACTTTTACAAATTATGTTCTTAATTTGTAATTTAACTATAAAAAACATAGTTTCTGACTTATTAGTCAGACTTTATTACAACTATTCATGTAAGTACGGAATTCAAGAATACATACAAATATAAAGCTCTCTTTTATGATTAAAGTAAAACACACGTTAAAGTGAGGTTCACACCACTCGTGATTACCCACTTTATCATCATACGCAATAACATTGCCTTCCTATCATTATTGAACATAAAAATTAAATAATGATGCAAAACATTCTTTGATAAATTTAGTTCATTCTGTTACGATTTATCCTCTTGCAAACGTTCTACCTTTCGAAAAATAAAAATAAAGAGCTGCTTACGTTCTGAGAATGTACCAAGTGTAACAGGACTGTACATGTATGTATTATTTAGAAAGTACAAAATCCAGTTGAAAAATGTAATATAACAGGAATATAAACATTCGTATAAGATTAAATAGCCATTTAATACACACAGCTCAAAAGAATTAGGGAATTGCTAATATGGACCTTTGTATCCACCAAGCGGAAGAAACAATATCAATGCTATAGATTTGCTAAATTTTGATAAAACATTGATGTCTTTTATAATTGTATAAGAACTTTTTCGAAAATTATACGTATATTTAACAAAGCCTCAAAACATTTGCAGCAACGGAATATTATTATGATAAATCAATATGAAAAGACGTAAAATGTCATGGTCCAACTTCTGTATCATAACAATCATGTCATAAGGACACAGATCCTACGATATGAAAACGCACTATCCCCATTCGATTTAGGACAAGAACGCAGCCATAACAGGCAGCCTACCACGAAGAAGATCACGCGCAGCGGACGACATAATGTGTTCGAGGCTGAGTCCAGGCCGTTATCAACGAAGTCCAGGGCATAACGGACAACGGGCAATGATTGTCGAAGCGCAGAGCCCAGAAGCGAGATTAAAGGCCCTTTCAGTGGAGTCTTTGAGGTCCGTCAGTCCAGGAAGCGACAGTGTCTTTTACAGCGAGGGCGCGGACCAATGCCTCACTGTCAGCGCTCTCGACGCCCCTCAATGTCACCATTGCGGCAGAGAGGTAAATTATTTATTATTAATTCTATTCTTTCCCATAAGGGAAAGAATCACGTAAATGCTTGAAAGTACGACGCAAAATGGAGGTAGCAGAGTATTTGAAACCGTCACGGTAGTATATTGATCCTATGCTTGACAAAGATTTGACTAATTGGAAGTCCCGTAGTGTATCGAACTAATAGACCAAATAGTTTATAGTGTAGTTAGTTGCTTGGGCCTCGAATTTCTTCTTTCCTTCCTACTTCTGTGGTTCACCATCACCCTATGTCTACTATTCGAGTGTGAAGTATCGATTTTAGAATTCTTTCTCTGGCAGTGAATTTCGTAGCCACGAGGGTAATAGAAAACATTTGAAGTCATGAATTCCAAAACGACAGATGTCCACTAGTCAACATGTTCAATAAAAGAGTTACTATTGTTTATCTTTTGTAATTGTCCATTAACCTTTTTGATTCTTCTCGTGAGTATTGTTTATAGATACAGTTTCATTATATTTCTAATGATTTTTAATAATTTTGAGGGTTCTCGGATAACCAGGTTCTTTTCGTAAACAGAGTTGTGAAACCATAGACTAACAGTGAACATGTCCTGTTCTTGAATTCTTTCAATTGAACAATATTCTCCCTCCGATTGAAAAAAACTCGCCAACTGTAAAATTTCAAAGTATGCAATAATGAATACAATTCAGTACACAAACATTCGCACATAATCAGTAAAATCTCGGAAAGTAATATTACTGTGAAGCAGTTTAAATTCGCTCGTCCCAGAATTCTACAGCGATCTAGGAACCTAGTAGACGTTTAACCCTCGTACAGCGAATATTGAATTATTCTGACCCATTTATGCAATCGTTGTCGTATTCTTCGTAATTAAATCTAAATGTAACATATGAGCCTGAAAATGTACATAAAATTATACACAAAATGCCTTCTTGACACCCGCGTAGAACGGAAATTCTATCACGGTTCAAAATGACCCTGCGTTCGTCTGCCGCGTCGGTCCCAGACTATTCGCCTTCCGAGGGTTAACGTACGTAAACGCTTGAAGTTCAGATCGATCTGTCGCTCTATCTGTCGGTCTATCTACCTCTTTTCTCTATCGTGCGTGCCGTCGTGTTGCTCCACCCCGAGGTCTCGGAAGAGATCGTTCGACCGCCGGCAGGTTTCGCGGACTCGCCGGAAGGGCACAGAGCCGTCTCGAAGCACGTGTCCGGCCACAGGCTCTACAAGAAGTTCGACAAAAGGTACCGGTCCGAGGATCGAGGCGACAGAAGGCATCGACGCAGCAGCGCGGGCAGATCGGACGTTCGAGCAAAGTCGGAGGAACGGGCCGCAACCAGACACGGAAGTAGAGGATCCATCGACGAGACCGCCATGGGTAGGAAGAGGCTTCACGCCAGGAGCACAGACGTCAGTTTGGAGATTCTTACAGGTCAGTCTTGCAAGATTTTCACAGTTCAATTGTGTTCTGACGGAAGATCTCACGATCGAGAATCGGTTGTACGAAGTGAGAGATATAGAAGCTCTGTTTGCAGCGGTGATTAGTATCGCGTTAGATTTGTATAGTACAGGCTAAAGCCAGGAATCCACCGGAAGGCTAAGCTAAGCTATGCTATGCTATGCTGTGCTATATGTATGTATGTATGCTGTGAAGGTGGTTCCGTATATGTATATGCATTAAAGCAAATATTTTTAAACATAGCATAGCATAGCATAGTTTAGCTCAGCTTGTCGGTGGATCCCCGGCTTAAGGCTGTGGTCACGGTGACACCGACATCGGTCGTCAGATTGTTTTCGTCAGACGTCGACCGATTTGATTGGTCACTGAGACCAAGGGAGTGCTTCCCAATATGAACAAAAGTATCCATCTAATTCATATAATTTATCATGCTTAAATCCCAAGCTTCAGTAAATAATATATGTATATTGAAAAAGCAACAGTATATCTTTCGAAAGTTATTACAAAACAAAGTATGGAACTACTTCTGATACATAAAATAAACCTGAAAGGTCGTCCCAAAATCACTGATGTTATTAAAGATACATTGTTTAGGAAATGCTAAAGCTGAATATGTAACGTGTACGTGAATGAGAGTAATAAAAGTGGTACAAGGTGTGGATCCTGTATGAGATACCACAAACTTTACAGTTAGAACAGGTGTCCAAATATTTATGGACGAGATCGTATAAAAAGTGGAAGCTTTTACGTAGACTTAATATAGTACGTATATAAACTTATATTAGGTTGCTGTACATGAAATGTCGCCCTTTTCAAGCCAATCATAAAAGAAAGTAGCTGTTTTTGAAATTTCTTACATAGAATTGCAATTTTTCCAGATTACCTGCTTATTAATTTATCAAAATTAACCATTTTGAAAACTTCTAACACTATTTCATTTATATCTTTGATAATGAAGATACAAAGAAAGAGTAATTGGAAACTTTTGTGTATTAGTAAACTAATGGAATTAAGAAAATTAAAATTTTCAAAAAAAAAAATTTAAAGGACCCAGAGCTTGTTTAAGAGAATTATTATTCACTGCAAAAACTCTACTTTTACTATGCTACTAACTCTATCATTAATTATTTATTTTTAAACACTAGTCGTTCTGGTTTAAACTATTGGCTTTTTTACAGTAAACATTGGTATTATGTATATTTTCTAATTTGTTACAGTTTAATTACTTTGTTTGTAATATTGTTACATTATCACAAAAAATATGTGTAACTCTTACGACATTGTTAAAATTTGAAGCATTATTTCGTCAAAATACTTTCATTCGATAACTAATAAATAATTCAATTTAATTGAAAGTTACTTCAATAACTGATGAACACTCTGACATTCAACATTTGACAATATAGAGCATTCTGAAATTAAATAAATTACAAACCAAAAACTGCGATACAATAGTGTTTCTTCTATTATAATAATTATGTTGCAAACTTCTCTGTTACAACTTCTGAGATACACCAATTCAAACCACGTGCCACTAACCACGATAAATTTCTTAAGCAGAATTTCCTTGAGAGATCTTTGTCCAGGAAGTTTAGCTAAGAAATATTACCTCCGTTCCCGGTAACTTACATAAAACACATTCTAATAAGGACTTGTACGCCGCCCGTCATAAAAAGCACGTTCAAGAAGTTCCGGGCGCATAAACTTCATTAACTGCTTTCATATCTGGCGCGTTATACGGAGGTATGGGTGTACGAAGTATTGCGAAACGGGCATAATAAAGGTAGGCAAGCGTCTCTCTTGTAAAAAGTTGCGTAACGAGGCACGATTGAAAAATTGAGTGGAGCCGCCACCGTTACTTAGAAAAGTTTCGCCGGGTCTTCGGTTACTTTTCATCTTCTCTTATGAAGATTTCTGACTTCCATTTCTCTCAGTAAAGAGATGCTCATTCAAGCACTCTAATACAGAGAAGCTCATTGTCGGTACGAAAAACGATAATCAAATACATATCATTTTAACTGAACTATGTTTGTTCTATTAGGTTGTGCCATATAAAATTACCGATATTCGAGTAGGGTATATGTCCTAATTCCTGTTACCTTAAGTTTGTAGCGTAACTTCGTTTAATAATTTTACGTGTTGTTTAACCTAAAGATCGTCTCAGTTTGGAACATAATATTATTTAACATTTCTTTCATTAAAAAAATTAATTTATACATTAAATATGTGTTATGTATGTAAACCTGTAAAAATACGTGACACGTATAATTTATAACAAAGTTAGAGTTAAGTATAAGAATATTAAATATCTTTAAGGTGGTAATCATAAAAATCGAAGAAATGGTAAAATATGTACAGAATGTCCGGTTTAACTATATGCACGCTATTATTTCTGTAACCATTCAAAATGCAAAAAAATATTTCATATGAAAGTTATTTGATTTTATGATTCATGAAGTATACTTAATAGAATATTTGACTCTTTCTTTAAATTGTTATTTACACAGATTTTAATACCAATGTAATTTTTTTTTAAATGGACCTATATATTTTTATTACTGTCATATTATTAAACATTTCATGACGAATTCAACGACATATTTGAATGTTCTGTTTGAACAACAATTTTATTTCTCGGATAACTATAGGAATGTTGGTGCCAATTTCATTGTTTCTTGTCTCGTGAATCACACGTAATGGGTAAAAGATGCTAACCAAGCTATTTAGACATTTGCCACTAAACTATGTCACGAATTATTATCTTTCTCACATAATACCTTAATATTTTATTACGCAGAATGTTTAACAGAATGAATTTATGTAAAAAAAAGTATTTTTCTTCCATAATATTTCATAATCGTTAATAAAAAAACCTAATTAACTTTGATAACTCAGTAGCCGAGTGGTGGGAGAAGCGCTCGGACACAGTATAAATACTTTTAATCAGTATTGTCACTCCGTGTCGTGTCCTTTAATGTAGCGTCGAACAGTTGCCATGTAATGGATTGTATAGTACGCTAATATTTAAATTGTGAAAAGCAGATAAGTATGAATACAGTTGTCCTGTAACTTCTTAGCGTTACTAATTTTTTATTTTTTTATACTTGAGGTTCTTCTGGAAAAAATCATGAAAATGACTGACCGGTCATCGTTTCTTTACAGGAATTTTTGGCATCTGTTAGTGAATTTCATGATTTTTTACCAAGAGAAGTTCAAATATTAAAAAATAAAAAATTAAAAACGGTATGAAATTACTGGACAACCTAATATAATATTTAAATAAAGCTATAGGTGTCCATTTGATGCTTCCTTACAATAGTTGCTCCCGAGAGTACTCTCAAATTGTGTATCCATTTGAGAGTAACTTCGAAGAGTATTACTCTCCAAGTGCCAATACGTAATAAAAAAAACTCGTCGAGAGCTTATTGTCAAATAGAACTCTCAGAATCGTGTCCATTTCAGATTTATCAATGCTTACTGTATATAGTTCATTTTGAAATACAGGGGAGATAAAGTGTAATCACTGCAAAAGATGAGAAAAATATATTATTATAATATATTTAAATATACATATCACAGTAAAAGCGTGAAGTTTAGTAAATTTACACACTTATTAGTCAGTGTATGCATTTGAGTACGATTTCAGCAGAAGTATGAACTGAGTATAAAACTGTATACTACTTCTACTAAATGTATTCATTTACTAGATAATGCATACTTTCCTACAGCACGTTAGTATAAAAGCATAATGTTGAAAGTATAATTTTTTTAAATATAGGTATATTTAAAGAACAAAAATGAAAACTGAAAACTTAACACTTTGTGTGAATATTCTAGGCATCTTTTTTACGAAAATTGTTTTTCTTATTTAATAAATATAAAAATATTGGTTTAGTTAGGTTATATTTTTATTTAATACACTTAAAAAGAAACAATTATAATGTAAACTAAATACTTCAGTTACATAGATTAACAGAAAATGTTCCTTCTTACTGTTTTTATTCATTTCAATAATATAATCTAAATGATTAGTATCTGTGAAATTAATTACCTATGTAAAATGTAAAGACGCGGCCTTTTTAAGGCAAAATTTATAAGTTATATTATGATTTATATGACCAGATGCTAGCAAAAATGTTTATTGAAATTATGTAATGCATTTTTGTTTGTGCATACGTTTACTAAATCAGAAATGTAACTATATGCATTTACTAGTAAAAGTATAAATTTCGTTCCTCGTGAATACATTTACTAACCAGATTAGTAAGTGCATACATTAACTAAGAAATGTATACATTTACTGAATTAACGCTTTTACTATACATATGTGTACAATTTTCTCGATTCAATTGAGAATAGCGCCAAACAATCGAAAGACACGTGACTATCGCCATGTTCTTGATTGCATATGGCAGCACATGCGCTGTAATATTTTTGAGACGCTGTTTTCGCCAAATGACTCTACTGGTTATACCAGGTTATACCGGTAATACGTTATACCACAGCCGACTCTGTATTAGAGGCGGCTGTGGTTATACCTATACTGTGCCCGAATCGTACCAAATGTTTACCAATGTCTACTGTTAGCATTTTTGCCAATATATCTGTGATTATTCTTTCAGACGGTAAGTATGCTAACTCAAAAACTTCATTATTTAAAGCGTCCCTAATGAAGTGATACCGCAAGTTATTCGCAAGCAACTTAGCACTTTGGTTATCGTTCTATAGAATAATATTTAGTTTTACATCTAATTCTAACAATAAATTTCTCAAGAACAAAATTTCTTTGGTTGATTTGGACGTTGCCATATATTCTGCTTCTGCAGATGACAGATACTATTCTTTGTTTTTCACTTTTTCATGAGATGATTGAACCGTTAAGCTTAAAAATATATCCAGTGAATGACTTTTTATCGCAAAACAGAACCCCAATTTGCATCCAGATAACCTTCGACTTTTAAGTCATTTCTTTCATATACCAAACCAAAATCTATAGTATTCTTCAAACACCTAACTACTCACTTTGCTACATTCCAATATGCTCTTGTAAAACATGTATTAAATTGATTTAGAAATAGGATACTATGGTGTGCATTATATCGAGTCTAATAGGAACCGATAAAAAGTATATAATACATTTGGATCAGCAGGAGTTTCAGATATTTTTGCATTTATTAATTTGGAGTTTTCTATAATTTTATTGATGTGTTTCCTTTGAAGAAGAAAAATCCTATTATTTGTTTTAACTATTTCTATACCTATGCAATGTTTAGTCTCTCCTAAATTTTTGGTTTCAAGTTCAGTGTTTAATTTAATTTTAATCTCATTAAGTCTGGTTTCATCATCATAAGCTATAAGCATATTGTATGCATATATAATAATGATAGTTTTATAAGTTTTGTTCATATCATAATACATACAAAGCTCTATTTTCAAAGCTTTTAGATTTAGTTTTTGAAGAATGTTATCTCTTTGGGTATTCCAGACTCTGCCTGCTTGCTTTAACCCACATAAGGCTTCTTTCAGCGTACAAACTTTATTGCCTTTTCTTATTTTGTCTATCATAGATTATTTCTGCCTTTAATATTTTTATCTTTTTCATTTTCAAGTATATAAATTGAAAACTGTTCTAGAAAATCTTGAAGCTTCATTTACGCATTTTCTCTTAATTTCCCATTTAAAAAAGCACTAGTTACATCCATATGGTCAATTTTTAGATTTAGTTGAACTACAAGAACTATTAAAATACGTTATTACTCTACCCCACTACTGGAGCAAACGTTAGAAAGTAATCATGTCCATAAACCTGTGAAAAACCTCTGGCTACCAACCTGGCTTTCCTAGTTGTTACTTTTCCAGTAGTATTTGTTTAATTTGTTAAAACCAATTTTGAATCAATAATATTACCTTCCCTTGGCTCTTCAATTATTTCCCGTGTAGAATTTTTTATTAACTGTATGACTTCTTGATATATTCTTCAGTCCAAACTTGTCTACCTTTGCCGTTTAGAGCTTCATGATAATCTGGATTTACATAGTTGGCTTCTGCATTCTCAAATACAGAATTGATAATTACACTACTCCTTTCCATTGTCTGTCTGTAACAGCTCTATTTTTTATTATTTTGCCATGCTTTTGTACTGTAGGAACTTATCAAATACTTCATTCTTATGTTTCAGTGAATGAATAACACATCAGCGTGAATGATTATCAATGCGTGAGTTGCTTAACCCTTGGAGTATGGACCGTTAAAAACGGTTAATCATGACCCATAGCAACATCTCGAAATTATTCGTTTCGTTGACGTATAAAAATGTTCGGACTATGTAAGCTTGAGTAGTCGCTAATAACCCGTAGAGGTGAATGCGACTTTAAATAAACAAATTAAAAAAAAAATGTTCGGGTAAATGTGCTTACCGATGGGTGTCCGATGACCCGGCCGCAGGAACACGAGGATTAAGATTTGCTTTCCGAGTAGGACCTTTTGTTGCATAGATATTTCCCAGTTTTAACCATACATCGATGAACTCTGCCATCCCTTTAATTGTGTCAATTCATTCAGGCTTATGCACACTATTATGTCTGATTTAGCCTTTTGATAATTTTTTATCCAATCATTCTGTGCTGTAGTATTATGCTGCGTATTTTCCGATTTTTATTAGTTCTCTTACTACTCACATATTGTCATAACTCATTTTTATATGCACAGCTTCTATTTGCATTTTCCATATTTCATAGTTATTTTTATTTAACACTTCAATTTTTGGTGATACTATTTATGTTTGATTTTTTTTTGTGATCTGCACGTACTCTTTTAACCTCAAAAACCACTTTTAAATTTAAAAAAATGTACGCTTATTATTTTTGTGGCTTGGGCCCATAACGTGTTAGTTTAATATAACATGCATCACACCAGGACACGCGCACGCCCCCGGCCTTCACATGCACTGCTGTCTTTTCATTCGTTTAACAATATAAAGGATTAATTAATAATTAATTAAACTCTGCGAGCAATCCCAATGTCCCCGTGACAGTCATCTGAAAAATTTATGTACAGGACCATGCGACTAATGACTGATTGTTGATCCACGATTATTGTCCAGGCGTCATCCCCATCATAGGCGGGGGGGGGGGGGGGGGGGGAGCGCGCCTAGGCGACTTCCAATTCACGAGCCAACGACTGAACGTTGGGAACCCACAAAAGGTTACATTCCCGGGTGTCGGCGAGACAATACTAATGTAATGATAAAACTTTTTTATTTTTGGTTCTTTATTAATGAAACCTGTATGAACATATTGGTGAAATTTTTCTGATTAAAATGATACCAAACAAGACAAAATTTGGATCATATTCACTTATGATTTATCAGAAGCGATAATAAACGAATATGAACTGTTAACACTTTCTAGATGAGTCAATATGATCCAAATTATATCGTATTTGGTATCATTAGCTGAATCATGCTTCTCCAGTCACACGTATTTTTATTATTGGCCGAAACTATACACACACAATCGGATTGTGTGGTTGGCTATAATGTAACCATTGGTCAGTGAGAGCGTCGCAGGCAGGCCACGCGGTCGAGTCCAGTGGAAACAGAAGCTTTCTCTCTGTTTTTCAATCGCTTGTCCTTTTCTATGTTCGGAATACTGCAAAGGCGAGTTGCCGAGGCTCGAGCTTCGGGCAAAGAACGTATTCACGAGGGTCAGAAGCGTTTCGCGTAGTCCATGATTATTGTTCCGGCGCGGACCCGAGCTTGGGACAATAATCGCAAGGCCCCTGTACTTCTTATACAGGGTGTAACAAAAATGTTGGAGGACCCGGAAATGGGAGCCTTGTGAAGTGATTTGAAAGAAGTTTTTCCTTAGCAAAAATGTTGTCCGAGACTTTATTAACGAGATAATAACGAATAACCCCGACCAATCAGACCGCGAGTCTGCCGGCCGCGCTCCCGTGGTAACGTTGGCTACCAATCGGGAGCTCGCTGTGCGCAACAAAACATTCCCTAATCGGGAATAGGTAGTTGCAGGGTTTAAAGATTTCCAAGAATCTAAAAACACCAATTTGTATAAAAGTGGGATGTATTATATAATATCTCGTGTGATGAAATCTATTTAATCATCACGGTACACATTTCAAACGAATTAAACTTATTTTTTACAAAATAAACGTTTCAGTTGCGATCTGTAGAAACGTTAATTTAACATAGTACAATATAAAATATCTGTCTAACGAATTCGTTTTTATTTATATTACTGTGACCGTAAAAATGATAAATGGTATGATAATCGCCAAACAGAAAAGATTTGAATGGAATTCGAAGGAAGCATTTGTGAGAAACGTAACCTGTAACTTCGTGAAGATTATAAATGCAGTTCAATTTTGTGTTACGTACTTCTTTCGAGTTACAGAATTCTTTTTCTATTATTTTAAATTTGATTAATGGATAGTTTGAATAATTAGAATAAGAGAATGATGTAAGGAACACGCAAAAATAATAGGTTAATTTATAAAGTGTCCAATTTGCAATCCGTTTTCATTTCTTTGCCCATGAGTAAAAAATGTCTAAACTAACATTAACTTATTACACATTATGGTAAAATACTATTAAACTCAGTAGTTCAGTAACTTCATTATTAAACTTACAATTAAAGAGTATAATGAAATCCAAATATTTTATAATTATTACTGTTATTTAGTTGGTTGTCCGTAAATAAATTGTGGTTAAGAGTTAGAACAACCATCGTAATACTTTCAACGAATTGGATAATGGAAGAAACAGACTTGTATCTCGTTAGCAAAAGTGTGCAGATTCTAATGTTTCCTTTTTTCTATTAAGAAAATTTATTCTGAGTTTGAACTTTCAGGTTAAAAGCCGCAATTTACTTCCAAATAATCTGATAAGTTTTTTTCAACACATTTTTTATAACCATGACGAATTTATTTATGCTTCAAGTATACGTCATATAAGCGACGATTATTTTAATCTGCAATTGTTTGTCCTTCCTTGTAATTAAATTGCATAAACTTTGTTAACACAGATTAATCAATGAACCCAATGAGTTAATAGGAGATTCCAATTGATAATTAACGTTACGGTTATATGCAAGACTGTGGTATATGAAGGCAGTAGTATTGGGAAGCTGCTATAATAATGGGACCTTTGTTATTTACATATTATGGTTATAATTTAAATTTCAATAAAGTGTAAGCATCACGTATATATTAATAGTAATCACATAATTGATAACTTGTATAGGTTAAAATTAATTTATAACTAGCAAATAAGAGTTCGACGTTATATAATAGGATCAGAGTATATTTGACTTTATTTTAGTACCGTTCTGTACTCTCCACGTTTATTTTATAATAAAACTTATCAAAATATAAGGAATTTGTGGTACAGCTTGATAATTAATCTGCAGTGAATAAAAACAGTAATGAGACACATTTTTTTCAATAATATGAAGTAATGAAACATTTAGTTAATTAGAGCTTTCAGTATGTCTTTCCGTAATTATCGCCATAAGCTTTCTATTGACATTCATCAGGTGTACCAGACTTTTGATTTATTAATATTACAATTTTTTGATGTGCTATAATATGATTAAACAATAGAATACATCTTTTAAATCTTATAAACAATTTTAAAAGTCTGATCATAACCCACTCCTTTCTCCAAATATGCTCTGTCTCTATTTCACAAGTTCCATGGAGCTTTCAAATTTAGCCGGGAAATTGGATTTAAACATTTCACGCCCAGCGTTCTGCTTCTGTATCCGAAATAACAGGTCGTGAAGACGAGGACAGCTATGTGGAGCCGTACACGAGCAGTGAATGGATTTACATCAGTGACCTCGAGGAGAACCATGTGTGGAGAAGGCCGGACAGCAGGGACGGCGACGACGAGATCCCGGAAAGTATCGCGAAAGAAAGGAGAAATTCTCAGGAATCGACTGAAAGCGAGACAAACTTTCGGAAGAAGTATCTGACGGCGACGCACAGGATGTTACATCGAAAAATTAGCGGGGAGATGTACAAAAGGATACAAACGAAGAGTTTCGGTAAGTCAATGGACAACATTGTTTGATTCTTTTCACCTTTTTACACTGGGTGTCTGCGAACTGGCGGTGCAATCTGATATGAGGTGATTCTATATGTTAAAATTAGTAAAACATGTAGAATGAAACTTCTTCACGTGATGCTGTGTTTTCCAGTTAATTGAATTGGAAAATATGCTCGATACGCGTTCAGTCGAATAGGAGTTGGCTAAAGCGTCTGTTCATTGCATTCTGTTTCTACTTATTCCCAGCATAAATACATCCACTACGTTTAAAAGTTAAAAGCAGACATACTTCTTAGTTACATAAATGATTCTTTGGTAATGTATTGAAAGTAACCGCCTGTATAAATAAAGTTTATTACATATTATGACCAATTTTCCAGAAATTATTTTTATTTCTAACTATAATTCTTAAAAATGATTTATTTTGTCGAATTTTGGTTATGTGCGTGTTCTGTTATTTGTGAATATGTCACACAGATCTGGAAGTATCGTAAAGCAAAATGGGGAAATTAAAAATACTTTAATGAATTAATAAATAGGGTGACCGAAATTTGTTTGGAAGTTATTGAAAATAGTGGTGGACATTTTAGGTGAAGTAAAAATTTGGTAAGAATTATTTTCTTTGTTACTTTTGAGTTTCTTTCGTAATATTTAATATACAGGGTGTTATGTAATTAGTAGAATAACCGGGTTGAGGAGATTGTACGTGAAAAAAATAAGTCGAAAATATGCAATTGAATATTTCCTTTTGAGACTTCGTTTTCGAACAAATCGACTTTGAGAGTTAATCCGAAACACTTGTATTCGTTCATGCTATGTATGTACATAGTAAGTAGAAACGGAATTCAATGAAGAGACGCGCTGGCGACATCCTATTCAATTGCACGCGTATCCAGCAGATATTCAAAGTCAATTTTCGCGAAAACGAAGTCTCAAATGAAAACATTTTATTCTAACATTCATCTAACATCTATGTATTGGTGCTGATAATAAGTATAGCAGATGTATGAGCCAAGTCCCTATTCAATGAAGCATCATACAACAAAATGTTATTCTACCTTTTCGACTTATTTTTATATGTACAATCACCTCCCTCGGATTGTACCATCAGTTCGGAGAAATCTTGTATACAAACAAGGTGAAAACAAAAATGGATTCATAACTTCAAAGGTAGATAGCACTCGTTAAATGATGAAAAAAGTCTTAATAAATATGGGTCGAAAAGTTAATATTTTCAAAATTATAAACAATTTTTTTGTTTTGGTTAAAGCTGTACAGAAAATTGTAAAAAACTAATAACAATTGTAAAAAAACCTATATCTAGGAAAAGAAGAAATAAGGTTCCTGCTATACAGTACGATAGCTCCCGAAGCGAGAAAGTTACATGCTTTAACCGAAATAAAAAATGTTTATACAGTAGACTCTAACTATATTGCCATATTCGGGGTTGTTGGGGTGTAAAATGGCAATGAGTTTAGAGCCCTCTCCATGCTAAGTTCTATCGCCATGGCCTCGGCCTCAGCGCCTGCGCAAAAGCTGGATCGTGCTGGAGTGTCAGCGTACGCAATATGGTGGGAGAGCGAATTTGTGTGCGCGAAAGTACGTGTGAAGGGGAACCGCCTCATGTGGCAATGTGTTTAGTGACAATATACTTAAGAGTCTACTATAATGTCGAAAATATTAATATTTCAACGCACATTTACTAGGACATTTTTCATCATTTGGCGAGTACAATCTACCCTAGAAGTTATGAACCCTTGTTTGTTTTCACCCTGCATACGTGTACTTGTAGTCGCATGAACTACTATCACTAATTAACGACTTATTTCATCATGTTACATTGCATGTAATACATTAATACTTTTAGGGAACACAATGATTTTCTTGAACTTTTAAAAAGCTGCTAGCTGTTTCTTCATATCTTTGTTTATTCAATTCTTTCTTCTCTTATGTATTGATTGTCCTTTAGAAATACATATACAGAACAATCGGTAGTATATGCAATAATACTATAGTTCCATTTTATATAAACACTACATCAAGTTATTTACAGCAGGAAAAGCGCACTCTTACCAGAAATGAATCTAAAATTGTTTTATATATTTACACATTTACTAGTTAACTTTATTGTCAATTTTGCACATTCTGAATACATATGTAAATTTCTACATTCTTTAGCTATGTAAACTTTGATCTAAAATTAATATTAAATTACCAAAATGTATTATTCCATACCTAGGCAGTAATACCAAACAATTATCATCGTAAAATTTATTTACGTACTGCTTAAGTGAAAACATCAACTCTGAAAGTTTGTTACATACTGATTCTACATTATGGAAGCATAAACCTATATATTAAATGAATTTGTAAAGTTGATTTTCTCGAAGACGAACCAGTTTTGTTCTACATTTTGTATTTGTTTTTGCACGTAGTATCATGTTTTTTTCGATTATACTGTAAACTCTGCTGGCTTTCTATTATCTCAAGAGTATCAAAAGTACGAACGTTCACAGTAAACAGGTGTGTAAAAAATACAAAAACTACCAAAGTTAAAAAAAAAGATCATGTACGTGAAAAATAAACAAAGTACAATTTTATCCTTAGATTGATGGAATTGGTTAATAAATAGATATCATTTTTTGGGACGCTTATAACGGCACAACCATGAGGAGACATTCCGAGAATAATCTAAAAAGCGTCTGCTAAAATACATCTGACGATGCTTAAATGGTACGTGAATCGTTTGGATACAAGAATCAGCGTTTTAAATACATTCCACTTAACGCACTATATTTAACACTGACGCTCGCAATTGAAATCGAGAGCAATTTGCCCAAAATTGATTGCTCTCTCGTTGTACTACCAATTAAATAAACTCAGCAGCGCGTGTCTGGACGGGAGTTAAATGATAGCTGTTGTAGTTTCTTCTGAAAACATTTCGATTTGATTACACTGAACAATAGAAATTTATTCGTTTGTTACTGCCGTGTTGAAAAACCACTTTCAATCAATGTGTCGTATATTAGATACAGTACACTACACATACACATGATTAATATACATATAGAGTACACAAATGTGTAAATCATTAGAGTTGAGCCACAAAAAAAATACAATAAGTAAAAACTTTCATTACAAGTACATTTTTTTTGCAATATTTTTATTTGATACATAGTCTGCATTTCTCTATTTTTAATTAATGCAGTGGAAACTTAAACGTACTGCCATCTGTGCACTCGTAGTAAAAATTATTTTTAGTTTTATATTTTAAATTACATTACTTAAATTTCATAATTTAATGAATTCCCTACAACTGTAATTTAACTAATACTATAGTAACGAAAATGTTTAAATAGTGACTGGTGAGTATAGAATTTTTCACGAGAAAATACAATTATTGGAATAATAAATAAATAAAATATTAAACAGTGTTTTACTGTTACTTAATAATTAAATTATTTTAAAATTCATGCGCAACTATAATTTAACTGACATTATGTATAACAATGAAAATGTTTATATAGTGACTGTAATGAAGTGTAGAATTTTCCACAAGACATTTCATACATTGCACCAAGAATGTAACTCTGTGTGTGCATAAATATTCGCTAAATTCGTCTTGCGATATATAACACCTTAAAACTGCCACTAATTTTATGCTCTGAGACGCAGAGCTTCCGACGGGTATTTACTATCCTCTGAAGATGTTACTTGTTACGTATTACGTGTTGCGTGTATACATACTTTCCGAGGTAGTTGTGACAGAGAAGAGGAATAGCGCACATGTCACTCCCATAAATCGGCATTTTTTGTGTGAAACGAAACCGAGGATGCGCTGTAAATGAGCGTGCGTGAAATTCAATTAAGACGAATACTTTAGGCACACGCTTTTGTTCTTTATACATATTCTAAACACTAATGCATTCGAAGTAATAAAAGCTCTTCACGTATGAAACTTATTAACGCAAAGTATTTATCAATAAATTGTGGATGTTTATGCAAAATTTATATTTTTATGTACTATGTATTTATTGAAGAATAGAAAATTTATCAACAGAAAGAGTTTATTATCAATAAATTGTGGATATTTATGCGTATTCGTATTTTTAAGAATTCATTAGAAAATAGAAAATTGGAATCTTAATGTTAGGAATGTTAGGATATTATAAGTGGAAACTTGTTAATTTAATGAATGGTTTTGTTAGTAATAGGTCAAAAGGAAAATAAAAACCGTGTCTTACTTTAGTCAATTACATGTGGTATATTGCATAAAATCTGTAGTTCAGTTCTTAATTAATTTTTTAGCTGTGATCGACACTACTAATTCTAATTATTTTTTCTAAATCATTGAATTTACTTTTGTTAAACATGTACAAAATGCACATTTCATATTCGTGCTAGTTAAGACACAGATGTTATTGAGTAATATGTGAATTATATCAGTACATTTGTTTGAGACTATAGATAATAGTTTCCTTTAAAATGTATTTAATTGTACTGTTTAAACGTCAGAACTGCTCGAATTAGAAGGAAGAAAACAAAATCATTTTGTTGTAACTGAAATTATACAGAGGATAAAAGCATTGTCTCTTAAAAATAAATTTCATAGATTTCTAAATGGTCTTATGAGTGTTTCCATAATCTTCCTCCGCGTTAATTCTTTTGAATTTCAAATTATATATTTCATTACTGTTGTAGATTTATTTAATTCCATACATTTCTTATAAAAGACGTGAGTATGCAAATATTTTTCGAATGCACTACACATATATGAAAAATAGTCTCTAAAAATATTTTATTTTTTATTATTCTTTGGCCACATAATATGGGATGGAAGCGGTTGTTCGATATTCACGAAATTTATACCATACAGCGCGCATAAGGATGCAGAATATGAATGGCGATGAATACATATATAAAAGATATTGAGGAAGGGGCGAACTATTGTACGATAACGTGAGAAACATTAGAGATGCCGGGTGTTGACTAACTTTT